TGAGTATAAGAGACAAACATCTCCCAAGGAAACCAGGCAGTTGGCTTACAAAGAGATGCCCAGTCCAGTAAGCCTTCAAAGGGTGCAGTCTTACCCTGGTATTGGACAAAGAAAATGATAGGCTTCTTGGGATTCAGCTCTCTCTCTTTCTCTCTCCCTCTCTCTAGATCCCCACGGTTAGACCTGGAGTTTTTTTTTAATATGCTTATTTTTAAATCTGTTGCAGCTATCTATATAGTAAAAGGCATGTAGAAGCACCTTAATAAATGCTCACTGGAGGTCATTTCATTTAGCATCTTCTTATAAGATCATATGTACATAGCTATTGAGCTATTCTGCTCATCTGCTAGCAATATCCTAGACATAAACTAATTATTACAAATGAGGTAAAGCATGGGATCTATGTTTCTTTGGGTTTGGCTTACTTTATTTAATATGATTTTTTCCATGTCTTTCAATTTCTATACAAATGGTACAATATCATTCTTTCTGATGAAAGAATAGAATTCCAGTGTGTGTGTGTGTGTGTGTGTGTGTGTGTGTGTGTGTGTGTGTGTGTGTGTGTGTGTGTGTGTGTGTGTGTGTGTGTGTGTGTGTGTGTGTGTGTGTGTGTGTGTGTGTGTTACATATTCTTGATCCATTCATCTACTGAGGGGCATCGGGGCTGGTTCCATATCTCAGCTATGGTAAATAATGCTGACATGGCAACAAGAGGTTTTTCTTTGTTGTTGTTTTTAATGTACTATGTGATTTTTTTCTTTTGTGTTTTTCCCCCTATGGTTTATTCCCTGTTGTCACTGTATTTGACCTTGGTACCCAGGGTATTGTGTATATGTTTATCTGAATTAGGGAAGGGAAGGGGAACAACAAAATGACCCCTCTGTACATCACCTTGACAATAAAATTAAATTTTTAAAAAAGGAAGAAACAAAAAAAATGGTCACTGGGCGAACTAATAAGTATATGAAAGAAAAGAAGCTGGCCACAAGTATGAGATCATGTAAGTACTACCAGGAATAATTTCAGGCCTACAGACAAGTAAAAAGAATCATACAAGCCGTGTGCTGGTGGCTCTTAGCAGTAGTCATAGCTCCTCGGGAGGCTGAGGCCTGAGAGGACTGGATGCCTTCTCTATGGAGGGCTGGATCTAGTGCTACACATGCTTGTCATCATAGCCATTGTGGGAAGCCTAAAGTTCATGGATTGAGGTCCTTAAGTGCCCAGACAAGAAAGCTAAACCGTATCTAAAACATAACCAGCAGAAAAATCAGGCTAGGGATATAGCACTGTGGTAGCAATGCCAGCATGAGACAAGAAGAAGAAGAAGGCAAGATGAAGACGCTGATGACAAATTCTTACGAACATATCACCCTATCAGTTCTTCACTCACAACCAATCTCAGTTCATTCCCCAACTGCAGCACTACTTTGTTCAAATGAGTCTAGGCAGTAACTGTATCTGAGCAGTATCGGGATGCAGTTATTACTGGGTCTTCTCAGTGAGGAGGTTCGGTGGATAATGACCAACAGAATCTTCAGCGATCTGATCGAGAACCCCTCTAGGATCCAGAGAGGAGCTGTGACACAAGGGAAAGACAAAAGCAAATCCTTCCTTGTGGAAGGATCTGGTCCCTACAGCGATCAGAGGATACTTCTGCCATATCTAGTAACGATCTTGAAAGGAGAAAGGAGAGAGGGACTATTTCTGCAAAGCCCTTCACGTGCCCTGGGGCAGCTCATGGGCGGAGGAGGGTGGTACAGAACCTGCATGGAACACTCCTGGCTGAACAGTGCTGATGGCCAGAGATCATTTTTAGAAACATTTGTTTACAAAAAGGCATTCAAAGAAAAATCCAGAAGAGAAAGAAGCCAGCACCCTGAGAGGGTCGGTATGAGGCTGACCTTACCAAACCCAAGCCAAGTGAAGGGAAGGAGAGTCAGAGGAGACAGGGGTGGGCAGTGGCCCAACAAAATGGGGGCCGGAAGATGGTACTCGATGGAGCGTGGGTGCAAGCAGAGGAGAGGCTCCCAAGACCGGCCCCTGCCCGCACAGGCCATCTTCAAAGGAAATCAATCAAATGCAAAGTGAAAACTGGGGTGCCACTGAGAGACTTTTCATCCTGTGCCAACTCAACCCAGTGACCTAAGACTTTGTGGCATGGCGTGGACAGAAGCTGCCCTGACACATTCTTCTAGACTTCCTGCTCCTCGGTGAAATCAGTTCCATCTATCAAATTGTATTAGGCTATCAACTTCTTGTCTCTATCAACACAGAAGTACATCTATAAGGTCAAGTGTGATAATCTGATACATGTACGCAATGTAATACAACCAAATCAGCACCTCTACCTCCCTAATTCTTTCTCTTGTGTTTAGTCCTTTACCTAAGGAAGGGACACTTGCTGAGAAGAGGAGGAAAGGTGGGCATCCAGTGGTAAAAAAGGTCTCTGCAGCAGAGATCCTCACTCTGCCACACTAACTTGACCAGTGACAAATAAGCAGATACCCAGCATGTGGAAAAGCGAGAACAAGGCAGGCCTTTCTCATGACAGCAGTGTCGGGCCTTAACTGTCCCAGAAATGCTGTCCATCGTTTTACAGATAGCTGGCAGACACCATCCAAGGACAACCTTCTTTCCTCACTGGGAATCACGGGATTTAACTCCACCAAATCTCCCAGCACAGCTGACTCATAGCAGGTACTCACAGCAGGGAAACAATGCTTTGCCCCTATGCTTTGGAAAAGCAAAATCCATAAATACTAGGGTGGAAAATCCTAATCTGAACATTCTTGAGGAGTCTGAAGTACCCTGTTGCACCTTACAAACGCGTTTTCTGGTTTGCAAGTGAAGAACGACTTTGATGTGTTGGGTTTTTTTTTTCTTGGCCCAAGAATATTCCTTTTAAGACAACATCTTAATGTATCCTGTGGAAACGAAGCCAAGACATATGGAGCTGTTCCCTATCAAGTACTGTACACATGGATTTTATACGTTTTTAAAATAATAATCAGCAAAGAGACAAGAGAAATTGTGAACTCCAAAAGTGGACTTTTCTTAACTAAAACTCAGCTAGAGTTCTCTTGTGTGAATTACAAGAACTCCTCTCTTGGCTTTAGTTACTTTAGTAACTACATGTGCATTAGTCACATTCCTAGGAGGGAAAAAAAAAATACTAATGGAGGAAAAGCAAGCTCCTCCCTCTCTTGTCCTTTCTAACCCCATCCCATCTTCCTTCCAGTCCTTCCCTTTTCCTCTGGAGACTTCAACATTCCCTATCCTAATTATTCAGAAGGCCTCCATCCATCCCTGGATGGAGTCCAGTGCAGGACCCCTTAGCCCCTTGGGTGTGTCTCTGAGTTCACTGTCAAGGTAATAAATGGCTGCTGTGGGTGTGTGTGTCTATATTAAGACTGTCTGCACAGACACCCATGTCAGCAGAAAGTTCTTCCTCAAAGCAAGAATAAAGAGCAGGGAGTGCAAGTGTACAAGGGAGAAGAGACAGAGGTGATGGTGAAATGAAGAACTGTCAACTAATGCAAGCTGACGTTACTCCCTCCAGCTCCTCTGCACAGCGGAACCTTCATGCTCTAATGTCGACTGAGCATCCCCAGCATCGTCCGGTGAGGAACAGGAAGAGAGGGGAAGCAGAGCCTTCTCCCTAGCTTTACCAAGTGCCCTCTCTGACCGCAGGGCCACCTGCAGTGACTATGAGAATGGCTCACCTTCTTAACAAGGTGCCAGTGGCACTCAGAAGTGCCAACAGAAAGTCACAGGCTCATCTTCCTATGAGAGGGGAAAAAAAAAAAACCCAAGCAGATCCAGATGCAGACTTTGTCTTATCCAAGAGCAAAACCTAGAGGCTTTGTCTTCACAAATCTGCTGCACCAGGGTCCCCTAATGAGGATTTAACCAAATGACAGTTCAACCACGATAACAGTTTCAAGCCTTGTGGTCTAATGATTTCTTTTGCTAACAATGGATAGCAGCCATCTCCCCAGGAGCTGTCTGGATGGCTTTAGTGCACACTAATGAGATTTAATGACAGTGTGAGAGGACCATAAATGGTAGCATAAATCCCCTACGACTGGCTAAGGAACACTCAGCTCTGCTGATACATCTTCAGAGGAGCTACAGACAATCCAGTCCACCAGTGAGGAAAAGGTAAGAGCAATCTGGGAAAGGAATCAAAGGTAATAATATCAAAAAAGTACTAAGTTCTACTACATAGAATGCTACAAGATTCACAATAGCTAATATATGACACTATTTAGTAGCTATAGCTATATACACAATGGAATATTTAGCCATAAAAAGAATGTGAGTCTATATCATTTGGAGCAGTCGAACTGGAGATCATTATGAATAAGCCAGGGTCAAAAAACAAGTTCTGTATGATCTTACTCAGTTCCCCTCCCTTTCCCCTCCTTCCTCTCCCTCTCCTTCCTGGCCACCATAAAGCAGGAAGGTCCTCCACCACAAACTCTACCATGACATACAGAGTCAGAACAGGGCCAGGGCAGCGGGCCAAATGATTATGCTCTGAAACCTCTGAAACCATAAGCCAGAAACAAGCCTCTCCCCCTTAGAGGGTTCCTGCCTCCCTAGGCGTTTTGTCACAGTGACAGAAAGCTGACTAGCACAGTCCTCTGCCTCCAATACACTTCCTTTCAACTTTATTTACCTTGCTTCTTGTTTCCTAAGCTGCAGAATTCTAACTTGACCGGCTCTAACTAGGACATACAAGCCATGTGGGAAATCCACAGACAGGAATAAGTGCAACAGAAATGATGCAAACATTCACACGACAGATACTCAACCTCAGAGAAATGTTTCTTCATTAAGCCAGTGAGGTAAGGCAAGGGCAGGTAAGGTTCATCACAGAGATGGTGGGGAGGGAGGAAGGAGGGAGGGAAGAGGGGGACTGGGAGAGGGGAAGAGAATAGTTGTATTGTGACAAGCCCAAATCAGAACTCCTAAAGGGAAAAGAAAGTCCAATTTACCTTTTCGTGATTTTCAATTAAGATCTCCACGACGATATTCTGAAACTTCAAGTCCATGATGGCTGCAACGGTTTCCTCCTGTGGTCTCATTAGAGTTGGTCCAAACACCACTCCCAAGTTTGCCACTGTCATTAGATTTTGCTTGGAGTGATTTGAAACACTAGCATTCAGGAGGAAGAGAGAAAGGTCTTGTTTAGGTAAAGGCCATAACTGTGGAACATACCATGTCCTCCAAGTTTGTGCTTCCCTAAAAAACAAAGAGTTGTGAGACTCACAATGTCCCCAGTGGATCTGGAACATTCTGACCTGACAGCCAGCCTCCTGCAAGCTGGGGCCCCGCCTGCCTTCCTGCTTCTGACGCTCTCCGCCAGCCACGTGTACCCCGCGCTGCTACCTCCAAAATGCAGAAGGCCCCTTCTCTTCCCGCATCACGGCGAGCCTTGCTAGATCACTAGATCACACAGCACCTCTGCAAGAACTAGCTTCAATGAGCATCTCAACTCACTCTTTGGCACCACTGTACCATAAACATCATCAACAATCCTTCTCAACAACCCGGCCACTTTCTCAATCCAAATATTTCATTCTCAGAAAGACTCTCCATTGTAGTCTCACAATCAACAAATATTCTGTGAAGTTACACCACTCTTGACTCTCTTCCTGCAATGGGTGTCTTTTTCGCTGGTCATCTGAAATTACTTTGTATTTTTAGTATGATCCATTTATCTTGTCTCTATTAGAAAGTAAGCATCATGACGGTAGGACTTTATTCAACTGTATATCCACAAATGAAGGGTTATACAAATAGGGAGCAGCTCCAGTACACCACAATGCCTACTAACTTTCTAGTTTATTTGTGTGAATGAAAGGTGCTGAAACACTGGTGGCTCATGCCTGGAAGCCTAGGTACTCAGAAAGAGATCTGAGGATTGCGGTTCAAAACCACCACTGGCAGAAGTGTCAAAGAGACTCTTATCTCCGATTAATCACCAGAAAACATGAAGTGGCACTGTGATTCAAAGTGGTAGAGCACTGGCCTTGGGCAAAAGAGCTCAGGGACAGCGTCTAGGCCCAAAGTTCAAGCCCCATGACCAAAAAGAAGGGTGATGAAGCAGTATTGCTTGGTATTTACAGCTTTACTGACTTAAAAGTTATCTGGACTTGACAAGAAGGACAGGCTTCTCCACTGAGGGACTAGATTTTAAGAAATGCCTGTCCCCATTACTGGACTAAGCAAACTTAAAAGAGTATGCTCAAACTCAGTTACGTAGATGTGAAACCAAGCTAAATTTGCTAACAGGCTAGAATCTCATTTCCAGATCGGTGTATGGGTCAGTACAGAATACTCTCCTCTTCTACATCACATCAAACCCTGAGCTGCCGGCAGCGGATTGTGAAGCAAATAATTATACAACTTTAGGAAGGCATCCTATTTTACCACTCTTGTCCAAAACACACAGAGTGAGTCAGCCGTGCGGCCTGCCCCGCCAGGTGTGGCCCCGGTATGGCAGACACTGCCCCGACCCCAGCTCGCCGGACTGCTCACAGCACGGCGGAGGGCAGGAGGGGAGGGAAGAAGGCTTACTTTGTCAAGTGTTTCACCAAAATATCCAACATCTCTTTATTCTTCTCTGGCAGTTTGTGAACCAAGAAATGGATAGCATTTACTCGAGATTCTGGGCTGCCACTTTCTTTTAAAAAGAAAAAGAAGAAGAGGGGAGAAGATAGTTAATAAAACACAGTCAAATGCATCTCCCCCAAACCAACACTACAGCAGCTCATCTGTTCAAGACCTTAAAAAAAAAAAAAGGATTTAACCATTCTCTGTTACCTCTAGATGGGAAAAAAAACACGGTCTATGGCCCAACATTATGAATCTTGCAAAGCCTGCTTCTTAGGTCATTTCCCACAGCTGCAGTCCTGCCTTCCCCTCGTTTGTGCGGAGAATCGGGGCTGTGGCAGCCTTTCCCGAAGGCACGTACCCTGGCGGTTGGCACACAGCTCACTTGCTTGAGCACAGCCCCTGACAACTAACTGTCCCACAGCAACAACAGTCTGTTGTGTGAGGAGATGAACTGCATCTGCCAGAAAGAGCCGCTGATGTTCTCAGCTTAGTCCTTCCGCGTAGAGCAGCTCTTAGCTGGACTGGGGATTGCTTTGATTGGGCAAGGCGAATCTTAGATAAAGAAAGGAGAATGTGGGTAAGAGTCTTCATTACGGCTCCCACAGGAAGGAATGGGAAAGGTGGGTAAGCAGCCTAGAGTGACTTCACCGGGCTCTGGGACACAGATACTGTCCCTAGGTCTCAAGAACCTGGACTGGGGTAATTAGGAGAACACCGGCCTAGAGAAAGACAACCAGACAGAAGGAATGGAGGTGTTGGTGGGGTCACTGGGGTGGGCCACAGTTAGAAACTGTGGTTTATAACTCAGGCTAGCCCTGCTAATACCGTGGTATTAGCTGGAAGATGTCAGTTATATGGTGCTATAATAGGGTAGCCCAGCAAGTAGCTAGGTTAAGTCAATACTAGTTAAGTCAATAATACCAGTGCCCCTGTACGAAAAGGAAGGCAAGCCGGTGTGGGTGGCTCACGCCTGTAATTCCAGCAACTCAGAAGGCTGAGATCTGAGGATCACGGTTCAAAGTCAGCCCGGGCAGGAAAGGCCGAGAGAGTTTTATCTCCAATTAACCACCATAAAACTGTAAGTGGAGCTGTGGCTCAATGAGGAAAAGCACTAGCCGTGAGCAAAAGAGCTCAAGGACAGGGCCCAGGCCCTGAGCTCAAGCCTTCCATGAGCCCAGGAATGCTACCATAGGTATAAGAAACCATGGGAAGCGTAAGGGTCAGGAAAGAGTGCTCTTCCCTCCAGCCATCAGAGCGCCATGCTGCTCTCTAAGTCACTCAGTCCGAGTACTTTCTTCATAGCAATCCCAGAGAACTCACTAACATGTTCTTTTCATCCCTTCATCTTGGAAATGGCGCTCCAGCTCTGCCTTTCACGACGGTGGTGGTAGCAGGCTTTCAATTCAGAACCTCTTGAGGCCTAGCTCTCCTCTTTGCTTTACCGCCATTACACGCTCATGGATGATTCTCTTCAGACATACAAAAGAAGTTGGACGTAACAGTGCTTCTGTGTGATTCCATGAATAGGAAAGTGTAAGTGTGGCAGAGCCTGACCTGTGGTGTAATGAAGTGGGGAGCAGGAACCCTCCTTCAGGGCAGGGGCCACGTGGGCAGAGGAGGTTGATTTCTACACCTGCAGGCCAATCCCATGGCTGTCTTCATTTGGTTTAAAAAAATTATTATTTGCACATTTATTTGTGCACATTTATGATGTATCAAGAGGTTCATGAAATTAAGATGGGCCACCCTATGTATCTGACCCTAACAGAAGCTGGTAGCTGTTAAGGGTTCAGCCAGTCAGCGTTCTCTCTGCACCTGGAATAAATGGTTTTACACTGCGCATCTCCTCACGGTGTCACAGACAACTTGCCGCGTCAAGAGCCACGGTCAATTCTGCGAGCGTCTCAATTGTGAGGTTTGTCCCAGCTTACATACATTCCCAGGAATTACTGTCTGAGGATGAGGAAGGAGATTTTACAAGAAGAGAGTTGAGATAGCTGCTGCTAAACACAGCCCAAAGGCCGGGACATTACAAGGCAAAATGATGAACAGAATACAAGTATTTACCAAAAACACCCTTTTAGATACACCTAAATTTAATCAGTGGAAACCAACACATAACTGCCTAAAACAGGGAAGTGACAAATTATGGCCTATTGCGAAATCTGGCTTTCCAACCAAGATCTTCATCAACACTGGGGAAAATGAAAGCTATAAAAACACAATTTCGATACACAGCTTTGACTTTAAAAAAATTAATTGAGGCAGAAGCTTGGAAAAACTCATCCACAAATCCAAAGGAATAAAAGTTGCCAAGGATAAGCATTTTATATTTCAATTTGTGTACTTTTGAATTTCTTGAGTGCTTTGTACTAAAACGTTTCTTTTAACTCACAGCGTTGTGCAACGCGAGTCTAGTTTCAATATTTTCGGACTTATTACTCACTGAGAAGCATAAGCTGGAGAAATAGTTTGCCACCCTCTAGAGACAGACTTCATTGCTCAAAATGGTGTTATCAGCTTTGAAAAACAGAATCAACACTTTTCCTTCTCTAATCCTTCTCCCACCAGCCCAACCCAACTCTTTGATATCACACATATTTTTTCCCAAGTTTTTTTTTCTTCAAAAACAAAGGAAAAAAAGAAAAGAAATTCGTAAGGAGTTTTAAAGGAAAAATGACTTTCTTCTCAATCTAATTTTTTTTTTTTTTTGGGTCTGGTCGTGGGGTCTGAACTCTGAGCCTGGGCGCTGTCCTTCAGCTCTTCAGCTCAAGGCTAGTGCTCTACCACTTGAGTCACAGCGCCACTTCCAGCGCCACTTCCAGCTTTTTTTTTTTTTTTTTTTTGCTTATGTGGTACTGAGGCATCGAACCCAGGACCTCATGCATGCAAGGCAAGCGCTCTACCACTGAGCCACCTTCCCAGCCCCACCTCAATCTAATTTTAATTTGACCTTCAGCAGAGCTTCCTATGATTACAAGGCCTTCCACAGGGCAACAATACTGTTGTAAGTCCTCCTGAAAAGATTCCTAAAGTTATCTTCAGTTACTTACATATATGCATTTTATTATATTTTAATGGACAATGGTTGAAAAGCAAAAAGCTGAACTTAAAAAAATCTACTTTTTTAAAAAAACTCGTATTTTTAAAGGCAAAGCCACACCATATGAAGTGTGATGCATACCTACCAGCCTTCTACAGATACACCTCAACCTTTGCTAGACTGTATTTTTATCTCAAGCATTTCTAACTCAAAAGCCCAGCATAGTATCTCACAAGACGGATGGATGAGTGGAAAATGTTAACTCACATAGCAGAGAAAATTCTATTAACTCTTAAATTCATGAAAGAAAACTTTCATCGAGGCTTCCAATGCATCAACAACAAACAGTGACTCAGTAAGGTGATTTTTATTTCTAAAATGAGGAATAAAATACTTTGCTTTGTGTGATGACTACAAAGAAATGGTATTTGTATTTTTTTTCATGAATTTATATTAATTCAGAAGTCCTCAACAGAAAGGTACAGGAAAGAAACTAGTAAGAGAAAATGGAGGGGCTTAGGAGAAACCTTCAGGCCTCTTGGCAAGAAGAGCAAATAAATACAATCTCACTACCACAGAACAGCTGCAAGCTACGGCATGAATGCAAAGAATCAAATCTTCGTTCTGTCGTAGTCTGAGTGGAGGCAACAAAGATGGGTAATGCTTGTTGGGTTTAGCCGACAGCTCAGTTAGCAGATATTTTAGGTAAGCTGTGCCACTGTTAGTGGAAAATGGCACTTAACCACAATCCCAATTCTCCAGTGGTATTCCAACTAATTTAATTTTGGCCAACCAACTTCTGTAACTGCTTTATTCAATACTTACAAGTATGCATGTGAAATATCAGTAGATCTGCTCCTAAGAGACAATCAGTACAGCCGAGGGAGGTCACAAGAGACAAAAATAAAAATAAAATCCTCAGCTCTGCCCTGGAAACTTTGGGCCCCAAAATAAACTCATTTAGTTCATGAACTTTTACTACAAATCCTATTCCAACCACGACGATTGCCAAATCCAGGCCAATAATTATAATTTAGTACAGTCTTGGTGTACACATCACCCTGAAGACTGCTACAATGTCTCTGCCCAGTGAGGAAACAAAAAAGGAGGTATAACCAGGCCCTAGTGGCTCACACCTGTAATCCTAGCTACTCAGGAGGCTGAGATCTGAGGACCACAGTTCAAAGCCGGCCCGGGCAAGAAAGTCCATGAGACTCTTATCTCCAATAAACCACTTATGAAACCAGAAGTGGTGCTGTGGCTCAAGTGGTAGAGTGCTAGCCTTGGGCTGAAGAGCTGAGGGACAGCGCCCAGGCCCAGAGTTCAAGACCCATGACTGACCAAAAAAAAAGGTCCAAGTCCAATACCTTTTGCCTCTATTCACTTCTTTGTACCACACTGTTCAATTATACCTTCAACAAACTCCCCCACCCCGTACTACGGGACTTCTTAAGAGAGCAGAAACCTCTCATCTGTAAAATATGTTCCTAAACACGGTGCTCTCAGTGAGGGCCGTAACTCTAACTTGTGGCAATTTAAACCTCACTCCATGATCAGCTATGGCTCTCCGAATCTCAAAGGTTTCAAGTTTTGAGCTGCCATCTCCTCCATCTCCTCAGCTTCTTCCAGGATCTAAGGCAGAACGATATGAAACAATTACCCTCAAACTAAGTCTAATTTCTCTTCCCTTGCTTGCCAGAAAATGCCACAGGGAAGAAGTCAAGTAAACTAAGCAGTTACCTCAGTTTTTGCCAAGAAAACTTTCCTCTACTTCGTGACCATATCAATTCTGGATTCTTCTTTCATTTTTATCTGTCTCCCACGTGAAAACAAAACTTAACAACACCTCATTTTTGCCTTTTCCAAAAGGCTATTTGCACATGCCCAGTGGGGCCTGCACGCACTTCTTTCTGCAACCTACTAAGCAGACTGACTGGACGAGACCTCACAAGAAGGTAGCATTGAAAGCCACATTCGGGCGGTAGCAATGTAGGACCCAGAGGGATTGCTCTAAGTTTCTTTTTTAACAGATTAAACTATGGAATACATAGGGAAAAAGAAAAAGAAATGAGAATATGGTTTTTCAGCTACTGTCTGTGCACCTGTGAAAACCAATATGGCAAAGTGTCGCCAGGGAAAGCTGGAGTGTTGAACTTGAAATAAGGTCCTCTATAATGTGCCAAGTTACTTAACATGTCTCAACTTCAATTTCCCTAACTATTCATTACCCTAGCACCAGTATACATCAGAAGGCTAAAATGAGTAAACAGCATGTGCTGAATATAAAACGTGAACTATAACAGAAAGCCAGAAATCCTCAAGGGTGACTCAGACAAATACTAATCACAAATTAAAATTCTACCAACCGACAGGTCTTCTTATTTAACGTTTTATCACATATAATTCACTCTCTATCAAACATTGCTTGGGTTTCTGGCATTATCTCATACAATTCCTTCTGTTTGTAATTTCCATCTAAATATCTTTCTAAGCAAAACCATTTCCCACCCACTAATCTCTCTAAATCTGCTAATCTCTTTAACCTTTTACAACTTAGCTACTTTTGCTTTCCTGTAGCATTCTATTCTTGCCGTGCTTATGTAAGTTATAGTGTAATGAGAACCTCATATACCCACTCCCCAAAACTTGATCCAGGGTCGTCTCCCAGGATCAGGAATCCTGTAGGGCTCTGCGTACCCAGTACCTACCCATGACCAGCACTCAGTCGGCAATAATTTGTGCTTATGAAAGCATAAACATCTTGTCCCATTGTTTTTACTTTCCTAAAAGGTGGGGAACCATCTTCTCAAGCGACTTCTATTCTGAACCCAGCTTGCAATAAACTTGTTAAATTTTTCACGTCATGGGCTGGGAAGGTGGCTCAGTGGTAGGGTGCTTGCCTTGCATGCATGAGGCCCTGGGTTCGATTCCTCAGCACCACATAAGCAGAAAAAGCCGGAAGTGGTGCTATGGCTCAAAGTGGTAGAGTGCTAGCCTTGAGCTGAAGAGCTGAGGGACAGTGCCCAGGCCCAGAGTTCAGGCCCCATGACCGACAAAAAAAAAAAAAAAATTCATGTCAAAGTTGTCAATGTGTACACCTTATCCCTCACAAAACCATGTCCATGCACCTCCAGTTAACACTTACTGGCTGGAACAATGAAATCTCCATGTAGCTCATAAGTCATGAGAGGCTCTGGAAGACTCCTGTATGAAGAGAATAGCTCAGAATTAGCAAATATAGCCAAACAGCTCCCTTCTGAGTTTATTTATTACATTTTTTTATATGAGGGTGTTAAGTTTATTGGGTATCTCTGAGCCAATGCACAAATATCCCCAGGGAATACCCTTAGGTACCCATCTATACATACATATGTGTATGTATAAAGAAATATACATACACATATACACACACACACACACACACATATATATATATAAATAAACTGATTGATGTATGAACCACTACGCATACCAGACATGATCAAAGCTTAGCTGTCAGGCCTAAGCAGACAGCATTCCATATTTAACCTAGGAAAGCACCTTTATAAACATCTGGATTCACATATAAGACCTCATATCCTAAGGACAAACACTATCTAATCAAACGTAAGCCCGCAGTTTTGAAATTCATGTTTATATGGAAAGTATTAAACTTAAACAAAGAATCAAATCTTCTCCTCTGAAACAGTTCCACAATAAAAGTATGGTTTATCCTCATATATAATATGAGAAATGTAAGAAATATACTTTTCTCACTTATGCCTATAAACCAGTTAAAAAAAAAAAAAAATAGTAGATATATCCAAAGATTTTTTTTAAATTTTCTACAAAATGAATCACACAAACAGTTGTGTAAAGCCAAGTATGGGTAGCTTCATGTCTATAATCCTAGCTACTCAGGAGGCTGAGATCTGAGGATCACTGTTCAAAGCCAGCCCAGGCAGGAAAGTTCGTCAGACTCTTATCTCCAGTAAGCCACCAGAAAACCGGAAGTGGCGCTGTGTCTCAGTGGTAGAGCGCTAGCCTTGAGCTGAAGAGCTGAGGGACAGCGCCCAGGCCCAGAGTTCAAGCCCACAACCAACAACAATAACAACAACAAAAAAAAGCAGGAATGAAGCAGAGCTCAAGTGACAGAGCACCAGCTAAACAAGAAAGCAAGGCCCTAAATTCAATCCATGGTACTACCATGGAAAAAAGGTATTTTATCTTGGGATCAATATAATGCTCCAGTACCATCAACCTTTTAACACCTCAATTTTTCAAAACCAGATGTCCTAACTTTGTAAATATTTTAAAATTACATAGATAAATCACAATCTGCATACTTTCTTCAGGTTAACCCGGACAAGATATTAAGAACCTTGAAAAGGCTGAAATCTTATAACCCAGAGATTCCTCTTTCGATGTTTAGAAGGAAAATCTCAAAGCTTCACAGGCACACATAAATAATAATTTAAACATATGCAAAAGCTAAAAATGTTGCCAAAATATGGGAGCTTATTTTATATTGATAAAAAGATCAATTCATGGATCTAATAACAGAGCTTCGAAATACACAATATGAAATCTGATAGAACTCAAGTGGTTCCATAGGTACAGTCAGAGATGTAAGTTTCTCTGTCTCAGGAGCTGATGGAACTAGGAGACAGAAAATCACTTCATTTTTTCAAATCTTCTGTCCCTTATCAACTGACTTTACCTGACAGGCATGTACTCCACCTAAGGAGCACTTCATCTAGAAGCAGCAGGATACACATCCCCAGTTCATACAACCAACCATTACTTTTCCAAGCTAAAGCATATTCTGGATCATGAAGGTTTAAAATGTTCAAGTTGCTAGGTGCTGGTGGTTCATCCACGTAATTCTACTTATGAGGCTGAGATCTGAGGATCACAGTTCAAAGCCAACCCAGGCAGAGAAATCCAAGAAATTCTTATCTCCAATTTACCAGCAAAAAAGCCAGAAGTAAAGGTATAGCTCAAGTGGTAAAGTGCTAGCCATGAACAAAAGAGCTGAGCAAGAGCCCAAGCCCTAATAAACACCTGACTCTGAATTCAAATTTCAGGACCACCAGATGTACGTGTGGGGTGTGTGTGTGTGTGTGTGTGTGTGTGTGTGTGTGTGTGTGTGTGTGTGTGTGTGTGTGTGTGTGTGTGTGTGTGTGTGTGTGTGTGTGTGTGTGTGTGTGTGTGTGTGTGTGTGTGTGTGTGTGTGTGTGTGTGTGTGTGTTTGTGTGTGTGTGTGTGTGTGTGTGTGTGTGTGTGTCCATTTGATAGACCACAAATTATGGAGAAGGAATGAACTACAGGAGCATGCTAAGACAGAGGTGAAGTCCTAATTATTTTAACAGGGAAAAAAAACAAACCTACGCTTAAAAATACACATATGGTGCATAATTCCATTTATACAAAACTACAGAAAATGCAAATTAATATATAATAACAGAGCTGGGTGCCGGTGGCTCACACCTGTAATCCTAGCTACTCAGGAGGCTGAGATCTGAGAATCGTGGTTCAAAGCCAGCCCAGGCAGGAAAGTCCGTAAGACTCTTATCTCCAATAAACCACTAGAAAACTGGAAGTGGCGCTGTAGCTCAAGCTGTAGAGCATTCGTCTTGAGCTGAAGAGTGCAGGGACAGCACCCAAGCCCAGAGTTCAAGCCCCACACCTACAAAAAAAACCTATATATATATATATATAAAATAACAAAAAGCAGATAAATGGTTACACTATGGATGAGGTCCTGAGAAAGGATGGATGGAAAGGAGAAATTTGTAAGGATGGAAAGAAATTTGGGGGAAAGGCAGTCATAGATTGGTATACTATCTTAATTATGGTTGTGGTGTTATAAGATAGTGTCGCAGTAAAGATAGTATCTTTTACAAGTTTATCAGAATTTATGTTACAAGTACATGCAGCTGATTGTATGTCAATTATACTTTTAAAAAGCTGTTTAAAAAACACATAAATTGTAGAAAAGACCAATGTGGTATATTTATGACTTATATTCACAAACTATATAAATAATTATTGTCTTAAAGGTCTTTATATTTAGTTTTAATTCATAATAAACTTTGTAAGTTTGTAGAACTAAAATACAAGGTATAACATCTTAAAGAGTCAAAATTTTCTCTACATGAAAATAGTGTTATTTTAACATACTAACCAATGAATTTATTTATGAATGACATTGATCAAGATGCACTGTACTCACAAACTGACATGTGAAATTGAAATCCCTTTGAACAACTACTGAAGGATAATTTTAAATTTAATTTTTAAAAAGTTGCAAACAAATGTATTTGGAGTTACAGTCCATATAGACAGCTTCTAATTCTGCAGTCTATGTTCATACACAAGACAACAACCACAGACAAATTAAATCTGAAAGCGCAGTGAGGAGGGAGCTGTTCTCTATATTCAGTCTCTCTCTTCTCTACATTCTGGCTTTCTTTAAAGAAGGGGGGAGCAGAAAGTAAATTACATTGCAATCTAAATCAGAAGGAAGAAAACTAGAAGTCAACCTTTATGGCTTTAGGACTGGTTTCAAAATATGGACAAGCAGATTGAAAGACCAATTAGAAGTCAACCTTTATGGCTTTAGGGCTGGTTTCAAAATATGGACAAGCTGATTGGTCAAGAAGGAAAAAGGTCATGCATTTGCAGGAAACTTAGAGGGTATGGAACCAAAAGGAAGGAAAAACGAGAGCCTTTGGCAAAACCAGAAGAAGGATTTCTTTTCCAATAAAAATGAATTTGTGTCTAAATACCTTCTACCAGCTACTTCTATCATTGCCATATGTCTAGAGAGGCAATGCCCCATAAAAATAAATATTGTTAATGTTAGGAAAGCAGTAATAAAAATGACAAGTTCTCCACTCAAAATGTATTATACTAAGCCACTGTCTCTTGCAAGCCTCCCACCCAACATGCTGTAAACCACTTCTCTTTGCCACCCGTTGGGATCTGTTTGGAGATATAAATCGTATTATTTGCCTAAACTGGCATTTCTTTCCCTGAAAAATCCCATTCCAATTTCCAAGCTTAAAAGAAGTTTCCTCCAGGTAGAATCAATTTGCTAGAAACATCTCACGAGACATATCATGAGTTGTTTCACAATGAGAAAGTGTTATGATAAAGATATTGCCAGAAATAAAAATTATGGTCTGTTTCAACAAGAAAGCATTCACAAGGTTGATATTCACCCCTGAAAAAGAGTAAGTAAAACAAAACAAACAACAATAACAACAACAACGACGAAAACCACCTTCCCCAAGTCAGTAGAAGAAAAGGGAGATGACATACACAGTTCTGATCTGCATTGTTTTCCTTCTCCAAGACCCTGCCCTGTGTTTGCTCTCTGTTTTAGTTTGCTGCTTTGGGGGTTGTTTGCCTCCTCCCCATCTAGCTTCCCATCCAATAAAAAGTTGGTATTTGCAGTGAGAAGAATTGAAGTACCAGAAATGGTGCAGTGGCTCAAGTGGTAGAGCGCTTGCCTTGAGCTGAAGAGCCAGGGACAGTGCCCAGGCCCAGAGTTCAAGCCCCATGACTCCACCCCTCCCCCCCAAAAAAATTAAAGAGCCACTGTAGGGTAGGAAAAGTTGTATTTCAGCTCAGTGCCCTGGTCCATGAGCAACAGATTTAGAATCCCAACCCTGATTGGCTGGCTGCAAGACCTCAAGACCTGGAACTATCAGGCTGCATCATCTTTTAGAATCACTTGCTACGGTCACAACTATGTGGGTTACACAGATGCAGGAAGATGAACACTGAAGATTTCTCCCACTTGCCCATCACCAGAAGAGAATGTCAAATCCTCAATGCCACATTTTTGGTTGCTAAAAAATAATGTAAGGGGGGGAAAATAACAGCAACCTAACTAACTTTCACATCTCCCAATGCACCTGTGGCTTAGGATAATTTCCTCATCACATTCAGGCGGAATGTGTACATTTTTAGGACTGAAGTTATATAATCATAGCATCTCATAGCATCACTCTGTAGACAACGTCTGCTTCAAAGGGGAAGCCGTGTGGGGAAAGGGGAGGGTACACAAGAGCAGGGACAGTAAGGAATTGGCTTCAGTGAGTATAAAACGCACAAAATGTAACACTGCAGGACTGGATTTTTCACCCTTTGCTGACTCATCTTGGCCAATTTGTTTACTTGTCTCAGGTATGAGTTTGAAAACAGTAAAATGGATTAAAGGCCTCCTGCTAGAATAGTAAAATCCTCTGTTAACATATTCAACACAGTCGGTGAACATTGTCAACAGATTCAGTTCATTGTATGTTTATGTTCTCCTACACCATTTCCTTTATGAATGTACTACATGCTTTCCCAACCTCCGTGTTAGCATCACTTTGGATTGAATAATTCTTTAGGAAGAAGGGCGAGCTGTCTTTGTATTGCCAGATCCTTAACAACCCATCCTTGATCTCAATCCATCAAAATCCAGCAGCGACCCCTTTAGCTATCCTGACAACCAAGAATGCTCACAGACATCATGATTCTAAAGCAGGATTGATGAGACTCCTTTGAAACCACATCAAAACCACAGTTAGGATCAGTGGCAATCTACATACCCAATTCAGAGATTTAGCCTTAAATTTTAACTCTTTATCTACTAGGGTTGACAACAATGCATACAAATAGTCGAAAAGTAACTAAAAACATTTTCAAATAAGACACTCAAAATCAGATAATACACACCTCAACTCATCAGCAAACATGAAGGTAAGTAGAAAGTAGGACAATCAGGTAACAGAGGTCTCCCAATATGATGCAACAGGCCTCCATAATGTAATTACTAAAGTAATTACATAATACAATACCTGAGCTGAATCTAACAGTGACCTCAAGTTTAACTATTTGGCCAAATCTAACATGTACAAACTTTTATTTGTAAAAAGTCATCCAGGTTCATCTGTACATAAAAGCCAGGTTTGGGGGGGGGGGGGGAGAGGAGGTTGTACCAGTTTAAAAAAAAAGATGAATAAAGCCTATCAACCATATGAAATGTTCGTATAAAGGCTTTTGAAATAAACTGAGTGTGTGCTGAGTACCGAGGGGCATGAATTTTATGGGGTGTAATCATCATATTCTGACCATTCCATCCTTTCTGCGATAAATCGAGTGTTTGTGATTTCAGGATCACACTGTTTTGGAAAGTCTTTTAGGCATATAAAGTACAGGGAAGATGGGCTGCATGGAGGATCCAAGGTTCCAGAAGGCTGCCACCTGAAGCTCCAGGATGATGGAGTCTGACAATCCCTTCCTTATACTCATCTCCCTGCTCTTCCAAGTTTGTAATTTTTCATAACTTTTCAAAATATCAAATATAGCCTAAGTAGATTCTAACGTGCTTATTGGAATCCAAGTCATTTTTTACAAAAAAAAAAAACTATCATCTATCAACTTCTGACAGGGCTAGCCTTGGACCAGGATCTTCCTCCCTTGACTTCCTAAGTAGCTGGGACCACCAAACCCAGATATATTTTTTAATCTTTTTTTATTTTGCCTTTAAAAATTTTTTTAATAAAAAAATACTCATACACAGTTTTCCAAACACAACATTCCACTTTAAATGCTATTTTTCCCAACCTGCAACTCTCAACTCTATACTTTAATACTTTTTCCTCTTCTTTATAATTGTCCTTCAAAATTTTATCACTGAATTCCTTTCTTTACTGAAGAAAGGATAATAGCTCCTTTATATGCCTTGATGTTCAAATCCATGTAAACTAGAAAAAAATCTTCCTATTAGCCTAAAACAAAAAAGATTCAATAAATCCAATAGTCTTCATCCTTAACGCTTTAGTATCAAATACCTAGAATTTACACCTATAGTAGATATCTATTACAAAACCCAAAACTATTCCAATTCCATTCTGTTCCAATTTACCTAAAACTGAGGTTTTGTCCCTTGCTTACCTCATTTTCTGGAACATTAAATACCTCAGTAAGTTTCCACTCCCTCCTTTTGACCTTCTCCTTCTCTCTCGTGTTTGCTTATTGGCTCTCTCCCTTTCCTTCCTCTCTCCCTTCCTGCTCCCCTCTCCTGTCCTCCCTCCCAATAATTGAACTTAGGACCTCGTGCTTTCTTAGTAGGTGCTCTACCACACGTTAGTTGTGTCTCCAGGCTCTTTGTTGGTTATTTTCAGGGTAGGATCTTAGATTATGCTTGGGATTCCCCGTGTCACTAGAAAGAACAAGTACCTGCCACTGAGCCCAGTCTTTATGACTCTGTATAGCTGAGATTACAGTCCTTCACCGTTTCACCCAGGCATTGGCTGAGATGGGATCTCATGAACTTTCCTGCCCAGGCTGACTTTAGAATGTGACCCACTGATCTCTGTCTCCCAGGTAGTTAAGATTATAGGCCTGCACTACCATTCGCAGACTATTTCTCCTTTTCAAGAGCTTTAATTATGTGGATTTTTGTAGGGAGTGAACATCTGCTTTTTGTCAGAAATACAAGCAGCACTGTCTCCTCCTGTGGAGGAGAAGCACTTACCTTAAATATTGCTTCAGGGCGCTTGTGATGGTCTTCACTTCCCAATCTATGGAATTCTCCAGGTCCAGCTCATTGCATGTTTTGACATCTAGTGAACAAGCACAAAAGGAAAATGAATTACAACCTTGAACGTTCAAGTGTCCTCCTCACCAATTCACAAAGCTTCCATTTTCAAGTAGTCAATCAACGAATGATTCTGGAATTTCCTAGAGGGAGAAAAACAACCTGATATTCAATTGCTTCCTAATAACCTAAGCCACATTCTACACTTCAGAAAGTCTGTGGTAGAAATTAATGTAGAAGCATATAAGCTCTGGGCTAGGAGCAAGAAAACATTCACAACTGCGGCTCAGGCAGAGCCAAGGCTAGCCCACCACTGCTACGGGCATTCCTCAGCAGCAGTGGCGTCCAGCATGTGGCATTTCCAGGTGAAAGAACAGTGTGACCTGACTCCAGTGGTACTATAGCCATCACAGAGTGTTATTACACAGCAACAAGTCAGTGTTGCTAAGTTTGGTTCCACATTCCAAGATCCATACTCAACACTGATCTGCCTAAAGATGAATCCATGGGATCAACCAAAGCAGAAAGAGAACAACATGGACCTGTGAGGTTTCTCTGTGGTTTAACCTGACTTAAACAGTACATTACATATACAGGGATCAAAGTGTCACATTACTCCATTAACAGGTACAATCTTCATGTCTATGTATCCACTACAACCTAAGAAAGAAAACCAGATAGTGAGAGAGGGGGTAAGACTCATAGAAATATAAACACGTGGAAAAGTAACAATAACCTCCCCATCTTGTATAACTAATGCAAGTAAATAAAAAATTAATGTTTAAAAAGAAATAAAACTGAAATAAAATGAACCAAATGCCAGTTAAAAAGCATCATTTCTGGGCAGTCTTCCCCAATGTACATGCTCATCCTGGAGATAATTACTGCATACCTCTATGCTATACCTCTGACATTGTTAAATTAAACTAGCTTTCTTCTTGTCCTAAAGTGTGCTCCTGATGCTATTTGCAACTGTATTTTTAATAACTAGAACATTCTAAAGAAAAGGTGTGTGGTCCAAAGAAAGGTATAAGGTAGAGGTGTCAATCCTGGTTGAACTAAAAAAATGACAGAAAGGCAGATGCTGTGTATGCAGTGGCATCTTTGACCCCTGTCTCTCAGGGTCAAGACACACAGTGTGGCTGGCAGCAGGAAAGGGCACACATGGTATCTCAAAGCTTCAATGTTGGAAAGAAGTTAGTCCAGAAAGCCACCCTCAAGCCAGGTTAACTGCATGTCTTCTTCTGCACCAGAGATCACAATGCTAGGGGGAACATCAAAGTGATTCAAGAATATGGGCAGACCTTCATCCATTATTAAATACGGCATGTTACCAAAAAGCCTGAGTGCTCAGTGGTGGCACCACCCAAAGGAAGGGGCAGCATACGGGTTACAGGAATGGCGTGGAGTTGTCACCGTGAACTTGCCCGGCTTTCTAGACTTCCGTCCTGAGGAGGACACCACAAGGGATTCACAGAAGAGACTCTCTTTCACTCTAGAGGGATGATTCAACCAAGACCCAGAAAAATCTAGCTGTTTCTGAGGGATTCCTGTGCCCCTCCCTTACATAGTATGTGTCTCCATGGGGAAAGACAATGTCTTGCTGGGATTTCCTTTTTAACAAGCACTTTAAAAAAAAAAAAAGGCTGTTAAAATAGGGCCACCATATTTAAGTCACACACAGCCTGAAAAATTTTAGCCTGGACCATGACGAAAAATGGGTAACTTAATGTTGACTCAAAACTTTGTGAAAATAAAACAGATGAAGTCAATTACTCAAAGGTCTGGAAAATGTTTAGCACTCCCACATTTCTTGATTACAGCAAGTGACAGCAATATGGAATAAATGACAACAATGGGAATTGACATGGATTACATTTTGATCAGCTCCTACCATTCAGAAACTCATGTGTTACTGAGCCTGTCAGACAAGCCACAGACACATCCGAGAAATCAAATTAAGCACCCTGATTAAAGATGCAATCCTTTATAACTAAGACTAAATAATTCTGTTCTAATGGTTTTGCCAACCAATTACTTCTGTAACTGAATATTCTGTCTCTCATTCAATCAATTATTTAAATCTCATCTTAGCATACAAGTCAGATAACATTTTCAATCAACCTGCTACTCCCAAATCACGATTTTAAAATCCAAGAAGCTTCTAGACCGAAATCTCTCATTTCTAACATCCTACCAAATTATCATCCTATATTTTGAGAATCAGATTCTTTCCATGGGAAAATAAGCTACCCTTCTAAATTCATGGGATAAAAAGTAGCTGTCACATTAGCTTCTGATGGTGAGACTCTGGTGTTCATCCTCTATTCAATTGTCACTGTTTTCAAATAACTCAATCATCCCTAGCAGGCCTTTAAAATTAGTCGATGTAGCAGCACTGGTACCTAATTGGTTAATATGCATTTGGATGCAATGCATTTGGAACAGTTGTCCAGCAAGTATGTTCTGCCATACATGTGGGGGAAAGCTCTTGAATCCTTTCTGACCAAAGAACAATATACTCATGATCGGTTAAAAGAGTAAGGAGCAAGCTGAGCTACAAAGAGCTGACTTGTTGTCTGAATGACTTGTCCTCTACTTGCATAAACTCTGGTTATGTCTTTGAAACTGGAAAGGTTCAGCTCCATCTCAATTTCCAAGGTCATTTTTTGCAGGTGCTGGTGGCCTATGCAATGGGCCCGGGGGTCCTCAAAGGAGATGAATTTCGTATATATACTTGATAATCGAAAATCAGAATTTTTCAGCTACATTAGTCTACTTTCCCTCCAACCTATGTTGTTCCACAAACATAGAAATGAATGTTTTTAAAGCAAAACTCCTCTAAATTTCTGGTTGTTTCCTATATATGGTTCTGTGTCTCAAATAAAATCATCTAGCCATTTTTTTTTTTTGAAAATAAGATTTAGAAGGATCTAGTGAATTCACCAGACCATTTTCTCAAAAATTCCCCTTCCCCTGCTCTGGTTTCTTTCTAAAGTGGGGTGGGGGGTGGGGGAGGAACACAGGATAATTCAGATTTCTACTACTATTATAATTCTCCTTTACATCTCTCATTTCATTTAGTAAAACTCATGACCCTCCCTGCCATCTTCAGCTACTTAAAAAGTTCTTTCCCCAGACTGTGTGTGACCTGACTCACAGAGAGCAAAGGAGAAGGAAGAGAAATTGGCCTTCTACGTAGAAGGGTGGCAGCCATTCAGCTGAGCATTTTCTTTTGGAGAGCCCAGGGTAAAGCCTGTGCTAGGAATTCATTTGAAAGTTGCCTTTTGCTCCCCATGTGACAGCAGACACCCCCGGAGGAGGAAGGCCGCTGTCCTCTGCTCTACCTGGGCTGAAGAAGAATAAACAACTTCTCTATATGGAGCAGTTTCTACAGTTTACTATTTCAGGCTGGTTGGAGAGACGTATGAGAAGAGTGAAGAAGAAGGGATGAGAGAGAAGATAGAAGGATAATAAGCAAGAGGGCTGGGAAGAGGAGTAAAAGATAGGAGGAAGGGAAGGGTTAGAGGAGAGAAGGAAGGGCTAGAAAATGGGCAAGGGAAGAAAAAGGAGAAAAATGATTTTGTCTATTTTAATCTTAATAGACCACAAAAAGGAGACGAGTATCAAGCTCAGACACGAAGGGTTTATTCTTTCTTTAGAAATTACCACAAAATTACATGTGAGCATTAATGAATATTTAAAACAGAAAAAAATTATGTACAAAACAACAATATTCAGTAAATAGCTCTCGAAAACCAAATAAAGGCAGCTTCCCTGAAAAACATTAAATGGCTTACAACTTTTTCTCAACTTTTTTGCAACTGTGGGGATGGGAGCGAGGAGCTGGTATTTCTCAAATGTAAAAAAAAAAAAAATGGGGAGAGCGTACTGGTAATGGGGCTTCTACTCAGGCCTCACTCTGTGTGGCTGTCCTTACTCAGGGCGGGCACTCTACCCGTTAACTCACATAAGAATCTCAAAAGGCTTTTCTGCCTCTGTTGGCTTTGAACTGTGATCCTTAGATCTCAGCCTCTTGAGAAGCTAGGATTCTAGTAGTAAGGCCAACTCTCAACTTATTTTTCATTTTTATGAAGAAAATTCTATTACCAACAATATGCTTTGAAAAAATGCAATCTATCTATCTATCTATCTATCTATCTATCTATCTATCTATCTATCTATCTGTGTGTGTGTGTGTGTGTGTGTGTGTGTGTGTGTGTGTGTGTGTGTGTGTGTGTGTGTGTGTGTGTGTGTGTGTGTGTGTGTGTGTGTATTACTTTCAGGGATAATAACAGAAGACAGATTGGTTTGAAAAAATGCAAAGCTAAAAACTTGGCATGCTCATCTGACCCTTTTTTCTCTTTCGGATATAAAACCTTAAAACAATAGAGGTGGGATCAGCTAGAGAAAAGGTATCTGTGGGGCTGTGTATACCTAACTATTCAAGACTAAAACAGTTTTAGGGGAGGAAGGGGTTTGAAATTATTTCAATTTGTGGACTTAACCAGGATGAAGAGAAAAAAAATACATCTTAAGGAAATCTTAAAGGAAAAGTGTAAAAAAAATCTGTTTTGGTAACAAAATAGCAAGAAAATATTATTAATGCTTTTTGATTGACACTTTTACATTCATTCATGTTCATTGATAAGAACAAATTCATACTGTGCAGCCCTCTTAAATGAATGAGGAAACAGAAAGTCAGTGACTTTCTCTCCTGCCAATCCTATAACTTCCTGTTTGTAGGATTATTAAAAAACACGGTGGCCAGCAACTCGGGAACGTGATGAACAACTTACGTCTGGGCGTCTGTATTCTGACACTCATAACAATTAAAGAGCGTTTTCCAGGTCATGAATTTTTGAGGGTTTAAGTATTTTAAAAGAAACATAAAACAAGGATCGCCTTGGGACATTATCCATGAGCAGAGGAGACTACCTCCCTCCAGTTAAGCAATGTTGTGAAGGTAGGATTTCATGGATTAAGAACAAATTTTGCAACAGCTTAGCACTTCAGACTGACCACAGAAACACCTTTGTTGAAACTCCTTGAACCAGAGTAAGAAGGTGACCATATAATGCCAGGATTTTTTTTTCCCCCTCGGTCAAAGTGCCACCAAAATGTGCCTGTATGTGTTCCGATACTAACAGGCCCTCCGGTTCTAATCATTATAACACCGTGTTGGAAATGAGAGCCGTGTTTCTAATTTTACATTTAAGTGAAAGCAGATGTTGTAGTCCCATTAAACTCTTCCAGCTGCTACTGAACCCCTGGCAACCTGAGCCTGTTTCACTTGGAGCCTACTCACGGTGCAAAGGAAAATCTGTATGCCAGATCTGCGCACCCAAGTTAAACCAGAGACTCGGAAAACGAAAACAGCTCAGAATGTATTCTAATGAGGCTCTCCAACTGATGACGGCCAATTTTTCCTGTGGTTAACAGCTTAAAAAAAAAAGAAGTCGATTATGAAATCCTTAATTCAAATACAGCCAAACAAGGAAGGCAACCCATAACATGCTACTCTATTTTATTCATCCAAGCCTCTGCTTCCTAAAAGCAGAGACCAAGGCACACTGCTATAATGTTTTATGATGTAGACAGGTTTAAACACAGTCCCAGCATACCTGAGGGCATTGTTAATACTGATTAATTAGGTGAAGTATCAAATCAACTAATAAGTAGCAAGGTCAGAATGACAGATTGGTTTGGTTTTCAGGCCAACCAAGCTGATGAGTTATCATGCTCCTCAAGAGGCAGTTTATTTTGGGATGGGCGAGAGGGAGAGATCTCGTCTTACAGGTGGTACTGAACTGGCAGTGGTGTGTAATGCAAAAGCGCTTTGTCATTCACATAACGTCTGGGGTAATGAAATGAACTCACTTTCTGGCTTCCTCTAGTCTGCAATGCCAAAGAACACTGTGTTATCAGCACAGATGGAGCGTGCCTGGTGCTGGAGAGGAGCCTGGTGCAAACTACAAACAAGCCTCTGTGAATACCAATGAATTCCTGAGAATCAAACACTTGCTGTCAAATGACAGTTTTGGAAGCTCCATAAAAATGAGCGAGTCCCAGTGGCTGTCTAAGCAAATGTACCGTCAAAATCCTGGACAGGCAACATGGAAGTTGTGCAGAGCCTGACTGCTACTTCACTGGACAAGTAAGCAATCAATGACATTTGCCTGAGCGTCGCATTATTTCTAACTCCTGTCACTTTTTAATAAGAGACACAGGCAGTCCTATGGTGATGCTAAATTAATTAATTAATTATTAATTAAATAAAATCATCTCCTGTCTGAGTCAACTGGGCTCTGGAGACAAATTCTCATCTAAGCCGAACAGAAAAATAAATAAATAAATACACAAGGACACAGGATGTCATTACAAAATATTAAGTTGTGGAGACAATGAATAGAAACAAATAACGCAGGGGAAAATGACTCAAAAAGCCGCATACCTGTCAATATACTCAGAAGTCTCTGGACCTTTGAGCTCACCCCCACAACTCTGTACAATCCTTGGTCATTTATACCTATTGCAAGAGACAAAAATGTTAGCAAGCTATAAGGCCATCATATTTTAAAAGGAATCATCAAGCAGGTGTACTCAGCATCTTGGCTAGCTCACTTTAGCAGCATTCCTGTTGACTAGAAAAATAACATTTGACAGGACCAAGTGTTTACCAATTTTTGTTTTGATTTGATTTTTTTATCAGCTTTGTGTTTGTGAGCTATGATTGGAAAGTAACCTCATAAAACAAAGCAATATGTGGGCAAAATATTATGCATGAAGAATGCTAAGGAAAAGTCAGGTATCATGAATACACTAGAACGCACCCCATACAATTGTAAAGATGCATCAAAACTGTTCATAGTGACATCCTTCTTGGGAAGTTTTTGCCTTATAAAAATAACATAATAGTGATGAGTAACAGAAATTATTTGGATGATTCCTAAAGATCATGGAAATTCCTTGCAAAGTAAAAGAACTGTTTTTTTTTAAAGAGTTCGTACAGAGAGTTCTTACAGGTCTTGTTCAAATGAGCATCAAAACAGACTAGCCAACAAAAATACACAAACAATGCACCCTCTCTCTATAGCAGAAAGTAAGGACACAGGAAATACAGTATCTTTGGGCACAACAGACAAAGGCAAGCAAAGGTGTCAGACTAACAGTATGAGAAGCAAATGTACATATTTAGGTTCTGACCTGAACAAACTAATTCTAAAAGTCATCTTGGAGCCAATTAGGAAATTGATGGCATTAAGGTAAGATAGGAAATTTTTTTTTTCAGTTGAATACTCTAATGGGGAAAAAATAACTCATCTGAGAAAGTGAGAAACAAAGCAAAACACAGTCGTAAAACCTATGTAAGGGTTGAATCTGGCTGAGGAGAATGTGAAAGCAGACTGTTATCAATCTCTACAATTTTACGTGGGACATTTTTTTTCATGATGATAAAATGACTTCTCGCAAAAGTGGCTCTTTGTCTTTACTTCCAGCGAGTTTCAGCTCTGGCTATGTGTTTATTTTCCACACTACAAATGTTCAAGCAAACAAGAACACAGAGAAAGTATCACTCATCCCAAGATTTCCAGAACAAAACAACCCAACAATCAAATAGGCCAGGGACTTTGCTCAAGGAAACTGAGGGCTTACTCTTCCTTTTTTTTTTTTTTTTTGTCGGTCATGAGGCCTGAACTGTGGGCCTGGGCGCTGACCCTCAGGTCTTCAGCTCAAGGCTAGTACTCTACCACTTGAGCCACAGCACCACTTCCGGCTTTTTCTGTTTATGTAGTGCTGAGGAATCGAACCCAGGGCCTCATGCAGGCAAGGCAAGCGCTCTACCACTGAGCCGCCTTCCCAGCCCTGAGGGCTTACTCTTTACAGCTCCTTGCATGGGTATGCAAAGAATAGACCAGTGTAAAGGAGTAGACTCAAGAGTTGCTTGGACATGCTCTGTGTCTGGAAACCAGGTCTGAGATCAAGGACAGCACCTTTGTGCTAGGTAAGAAGGAGAAGATGCGAACTCATGTTCTGTGAGTTTCCCACTTGCCACACATATACACAAACACTCACCACTCCTTGCCAAAGTCATTGTTTCTTTCTCTTTCTGCATTATACTTATTCCTCTGTGCTCATTTATAAGCTTCTCAAATGTCCTATGTCCTAACTACTCAAGATGCTGAGACCTCCTGGCACCAGTGGCTCATGCCTTATAATCCTAGCTACTCAGGAGACTGAGATCTGAGGATCGCGGTTCAAAGCCAGCCAGGGCAGGTAACTCCGTGAGACTCTTATCTCCAATAAACCACTAGAAAACCAGAAGTGGCACTGTGGCTCAAGTAGTAGAGCGCTTGCCTTGAGCTGAAGAGCTGAGGGATAGCGCCCAAGCCCAGAGTTCAAGCTCCACAACCAACCAAAAAAAAAAAGATGCTGAGACCCACAGGATAATGGTTTGAGCCAGCTTGAGAAGAAGAGTCTATGAGACTCTCCAGTTAACAAGCAAAATGCTGGAGTAAAGACCTGGCTGAAGTCATAGAAAGCCAAAAGAGAGCTCAGTTCAGGCCTCAGCACAAAAGAAGGAAGAGGGAGGGAGAAGAACAAGGAGGAGGAGGAAGAGAAGTAGCCAAGTAGCAAAATTCAGCAACTTGTGGTATCCAACAGGAGAAAAAACATGAGCCCTTTCCTTCTCCAAGAAGGCAGAGGGAATGTCCACATGGTTTGCCCAGAGGATTTTGTTCAGTACTACTCTATTTAAAAGTAGTCCTGTTGGGGGGCTGGTGGCTCATGCTTGTTATCCTAACTACTCAGAAAGCTAGGAACTGAGGATCACAGTTCAAAATCCAGCCCTAGGAGACAAATCCTCGAGACTCCTTTATCTCCAATTAACCAGCAAAAGTCCAGAAGTAGAGCTGTGGCTCAAGTGGCAGAGCTGCAGCCTTGCACACAAAAGGCAAGCGAGAATGTGAGGCAAGGCCCTTACTTCAATTCCTAGCTCCAGTGTGCTTGCCACATGTGCACTTAGACCTGCACGCGCGCGTGCACACACACACATACGTAGCACCTACAAGAGTTGAACCTCAGTGGCAGAGGTCAAAAGAGCAAGTCATATTGTGCAGTAAAATAACTGTGTGCCTCGATCAGGAGTGCTTAAAATACAGAAGAGATGGAATAAGAAGGTTACTTGAGCAATAATAATCAGGCAGTGCTGGAAATTACTATCAGATAATTGATCAAGTTCAAATTCATCAACCTGAGAGAAGTAGAGGTAATTGCGAATGCATAATGAGAGGTTCAAGGAGGGATTAAAGCTACGAGACACAGTTTTTCCTTTTCTAATGCGACTGAAATTAACCTTGTACAAAAGCAGGTTGGGAACAACATGTAAAACAATCAACTCTTGGAGCATTTGACAATTGTCACGCTGTTCCTAAAAGCTCTGGACTAAGAATTAGAACATACATCTAGAATACGTACACCAATGAGGGTGAACGAATATATACACGCCAACACACTGCCTTATTCCACTCAACCCAATACTCCCTAGTTCCAAGTAACAGGGTGTTTATCCCTCTAATAGCTGGATAGCATTCTCAATGGACACACACACTATATGCTCCTTCTCCAGTTGTCAGATGGATGCTTAGGCTGTTTCTGATTTCTTGGCTACTGTGACTGGAGCTGCGGTGAACATGACAGGGCAGAGGTCCATTTCCATTGGAGACAACCACCCAGGAATGCAATTGTTGGATCAAATGCCAATTCTGTGTCTGACTCTTTTGAGGAGGTTCTACTTTACATCTTCATTGTCCTGTATCTAAACTATTTCCAAAACAGCCATGCTGCCTTCTACTTTCAGCTCCCCCACCCCATCCCTTCTCATTGATTCTACTCTTGTCATAGACTGGGGTCTAAGGAGACCACTATCCAAACCTGTCAGTAACTCAGCCCAGCCCACAGATCCTGGGCAGATGACAGCTCAGCACCTCAGATCTGCTCACAAAGCCAATCTCTCACATCTCACCCACCAGCAGCCAACTCCAGCACCTTCTGCTGCAATCTCCCTCTGGAGCAAAAAGCAGGTGCTTCCAGCCTTGGAAACAGAGGTGATGTCTTCTTCCCTGCTTGCCATTTTAAATGACTCAAGTTTACACAGTTCCTCTACTGTAACACAACCCATTGTGCAGACTTGCAGCACCTTTTTGCAGGATGCTCAGGAATTGAGTGTCAGGGGTGCTGACTCCAAAATGTAGTACTCTAACTTCTGAGAGTAATGTCTGTTCCAGGAATCTTATGTCTTTTGCCCATCGCCAAGAGACTGTGCAAGGTCACCTGTTAACATAGAAGTAGTGTAAAACCTCAGAGGCCCTCACCATCTTAGTTGAGACAGATCCTAATCACGGAGAACAGAAACCACCCCTGCACCACGTTTCCCTCCAGTATATTTCCTATAGAAAACAGTCCATCAAACCTATGAGATGTGGGAAACAGGTACAGATCAAAGTAAACTGGAATGCATGGGGCAGTCAAGTAAAAATACACTTATGATCCAATCCATCAAAGCTTCCTGTCCATGTAGTGGCAAAAAAATTTTACTAGTATAAATTAGAAAGAGATTCAGATTGGAGGCAAAAGTCGTCTGTGGCTTTTTGCAAGACTCATTTTCGGCGCCCACTGTGGGGCATGAGAATATTAGAAAAAGACCTAGAGAGGAGTCTCGCTGAGGCCGCCTGCCCCTCCCCTCAGAGCAGCTGCAAACATCTGGCAAGAACCTCACTTTTTCTTTCCTTTGGCTTCTGCCTGAGAACAGGAGACCGGAAAGCCAGGGCACTGCGACCCTTTTGTTGTCCTCTGGTCATTTTACTACTCAAGATATTAATTCTTGGCCAAGTGCTCGTGGCTCACACCTGTAATCTTAGCTACTCAGGGGGCTGAGAGCTGAGAATCCATGAGGTTCAAAGCCAGCCCCGGCAATAAAGTTCGTGAGATTCTATCTCCAATAGACTATACCCTCCCCCAAACCAGAAGAAAGAAAAGCAGGAGTGGACTTGTGGCTCAATTAGTAGAGTGTTAGCTTTGAGTAAATTGAAGCTCAGGGACAGCATCCAGGTCCTGAGAACAAGTCCCAGGAACAGAACAAAACAAACAAAAAGACATTCTACCGCTCATACAACTATAGGACATGGGATTATGTTTAAAAAGCTAAGCCAGATAATTCTGCTCCTTGTTACAAAAAACAAAAACCACAAGCCATATAAAATTGCCAGACCAAGTGTCCAGGTGATCTACTTCTCCGTATGAACTGCTAGCAGGAGTGAAACACTGAAAATCTCTGCGCTCCCAGACCTTGAACCGCAAATGGGACTTCCCTATGAGTGGCCTCCATTATGAGATTTCCCTCTGCGCAAATACCCCATGCTTACTGGAGCACTGAGCCTGTGCCAAACCCCAGTGGTCTGTACTCTTCTGTGAGTACAACCCTAGGAAGGAACCCTACCATTACCCTGTTTTACAAATGAAAAAAAAGGG